CAATCGAATGTTTAAAGCTCAAAGTTACAGAGTTAATTAGTAAAATAAAAAACCATATAGTAAATCGTTAATTTGCAAAATGTCAATCCATCATATCAAACTGGACTGTTCCTGTTGCAAACATCAATCCATTGTCTGATATTTCATTGTTCATAAATTTTCATACAAATTGCACTGTGTTCCCGCTCTTTTTTTTGATCTTCCCGCATCTTCTGCTGCCAGACATTATGCTTTTAACCTAGCGTCATATACTACTTATATCAATATAAGTAGCGCACACCACACTTGTCCCCCCTTTAAAGCAATCGTTCTTGCGGTGGTTCGTGCTCACCGTACAACATTATTCTTTTCTGCAGTCTGTGCTACGCCCTCCGTCAAAATGTCGTATCTGCTGCGCGCTGACCTCCATAGCTCCGTCGACCTGCCGGGGCACCAACATCCGACTTCAACTCAGCACCTAGGACGTTTGACACCCATGCTCCACCGGCCTGCTGAGCCATCTATATACGATATCCGCTCAGTAGCCACACGTCCCATCACTCCTCTCCGTCGACAGCCTCCGCCAAAACACTCCACCAGATGCCACCTCTCCGCACCAGACTGCCCTAACCTGCACCTCAGCTCCAGGCTCGCAACGGCCTGGATGACCTTTGAAAGATGTTAAAGTGACCCTGAGAATATTCATCTACTACTAGATAGGACTAAATGAGGATTATAAAACAGTGTGAGGAATTAGAACTATGATTTACAAGTGATGGTTAAGGTTTTGCATCACGAACTAATATCAGCTAAAATGTCAAAGTGCTATTAAACCAAATGAATGCATGAATTCCCCGACAAAATCTAAAACTCGTTATCTTATATCTGATTAGTTCATCCATGAATTATAGTCTCACCGATTATCTCCATCTCCGGACAATTCTTCCCTGGTTAATTATAGCAGGCCTAAACATTTCTTAAGAGTTGTATACCAGAAGAAAAAAAACGCATCTGTCTAGTGTTGACTAGCTTTCCGATCTTATATTCAACCCTCCTCTTTTACCCCAGCTTGGAACTGGCAATAACTCTAGAAGATCTACAGATGGAGTAATAACGGTTAGTAACGAATATCAAATAAAAATTTGATATAAACTATACAAATCTATGAACCTGGTTAAAGAACCTTTAACTCCTTATTATAAGATGTAGTTATCCAGATGTAAACACTTAATAGATAGATCAGTTGATGTTTTGTTTCTCTCTTAATGTTTATTTCTCAATAAGGTAACTATTTTCTCATATATCTATCCACATAGATACATATGTATACACAATAGTGTATAGTGTAATAAATGAGTTCCATAATTAGCAAACACTTTTATTTACTATTATTGTATCACATTTATATTGAGAAATCTCTATAGAAATAAATAAACTATAATTTTCAGATAGGGGGTGGAGGGGTTTATGAAGATTATAGTCAGTTAATAGTTGAATTCATGAGTTGATGATGTAAATTCATGGATTGGTTGATGTTAGACATGAATATCGTTCGATACTTACTCAATGGTCTAAAGGTTAAGTGTTTCTGTGCAAGATCGACGGTCATTACTTACTTACTTACGCCTGTTACTCCTCGTGAAGGAGCATAGCCCGCTCACCAGCATTCTCCATCCAACCCTGTCCTGGGCAATCCTTTCCAGCTCTTTCCAGTTCTTATTCATCTTCTTCATATCTGCTTCTATTTCCCAACGTAATGTGTTCTTTGGCCTTCCTCTTTTCCGCTTCCCTTCAGGATTCCAAGTTAGCGCTTGTCTCGTAATGCAGTTTGATGATTTCCTCAATGTATGTCCTATCCATTTCCATCGTCTTTTCCTAATTTCCTCTTCAGCTGGAAGCTGGTTGGTTCTCTCCCACAAAAGGCTGTTGCTGATGATATCCGGCCAATGGATGTTGAGTATCGTGCGTAGACAGCTATTAATAAATACCTGTACCTTCTTGATGGAATGTTGTCTTGTAACTCCGCCTGTAGCTCTTCCAGAGTTACTGCCGGTCCCAAGCCCGGGTAAAGGAGGAGGGTTGGGCATGGGGTTAGCGTCCCCATCCCGTAGAAACCTAACCCGCAAAAAAAACGCTAACCAGAAAAAATAACTAAAACCAAGATCGACGGTCATAGGTTCGGGATTGTTAGTGCGCACTACTGAAAAATTCCATACAAGGGTGGAACGGTCGTCAAATGCTTTCGAGTTTTTCATCATGATCTAGCTTTAATCGCTACATGAATTTAACTACTAAACTGTAATGTGATGATGAGTATCACAAATTGTTCTGTTTTCTTTAGTTTAGGGGAGCGTTATGAAGTATTGGAATGTTGTCTTGTCCTAGTGTGTGATCAATTAGCAGTCAGTGACCATAACCAAACTAAAAACAAAACTGAGACCTTCACAACTCATGATGAATGTTTAACCTTGAAATTGTTCACAATTCTAATTTTAATGAATTTGCAATATTTCCCAGTCGTCATCGATTCCTAGCGTTGATATTTGTCTTAAACCTGATCCCGAGTAGGGTAGTGAATGAGTACTATTGAGGAGTTTCCTTCATCATAAAAATTCATTCTTGAATGATAATGAAAATCAACTTTAGTCACTATGCTCCATACTTGAAAAAACATTTTCTCTAGTAATATCGAGCTAATTCATACAGGATGCAAATATGCTGACAAGAAACTGATCAATTGCAGTCCTAAACATCAATGGGAAGATTCAAGCAATTAATACAAAAATAAGTGAAACTTCATCCGATTTTACAAGCTATTGGTTATGAGGAATCAGTAATTGAGTGGACAACACGATGGTGTTTGAAACGAACAGTATTAGGTTCGAGTCCTGAAGTGAATATCAACTGTGGGATACAGGTACATCGAGCTGACGAGTTGCAGGTCCTGCATTTCACTAGTAGCCATCATACATCTTTGCTTAGAATACTTATGACTTAACGCACTATCGAAGTAATCCACACAGGATACATATATACCAATAACAAACTGATCAGTTTCTGTCTTAAACATCAATGGAACAAGTCATACCATCAAAATACAAAATGAATTAAACAGTAAAACTGATACTACAATCCAGGTAATTGAAAGAGGTTGAAAGGGAACTGAAGTTTATCGATCATTATACAAGAAAATGTTTCATGTATCTATGACAATTGTATGAAGGAAATCACTTAATATTCGTTATCTTATTATGTTCACTTTCATATGATAAGTTAAACAAATATTACAGAACAATGAAACATTTAACATGAAACACATTGAAGTTTTATTCTGTTTACTTAATGCTTCATTTATATAAGATAAGAGATAAACTAATAGAATAGAACTCAATGTCGAATCAGTTAGACTAGTGTTCATTTGGTTGATAAGATTCGATTTGTACCAAGAAGGGCCTGACATACATGACATTGATGACTCACCACCCAGTGATTAATCAATTGTGAGAATATCCCAGTCCTACAGGAGATCAGTAGCGGACAGGATAGATCAATGGTAACGTCTCTGACATGGGCTTGAATCCGTCAGGTACACCTTGCTGACGAGTGCCAATTAGTACGAAACCTAGATTCAGAGTTTCTTGTTGACTATCTCCAACCACCATCTCAGAATAAACCAGAATGGATAAAGTGTTTTTTGTGTATAAATTAGGCAATTTGATGTACCGCCCTCATTTATACTTACGTACATCTCATCAAAGTATGATTTCAATGGTATATATATTTGTGAGCCTTAAAGTCTTTAAGTGGAGGTTGTGAATCTGCAGTGATTATTTGAATCCCTATACATACTATACTATCGATATTATAGTTGAAACCGTCTAGAGATGACATCATTTTCTTTCTGAATACGGTACAGAAGTGGAGTTGTTTTTTAAACCTTCAGATTCCTCGTACTTTTAAACCTAGAATCTGTCATTATTGAGTTAAGCGTTCGAACCCCACTCGGCAGATCAATAGTATGACTGGTTCTCAAAAACTACATTCAGCCTCAAGATAACTACATAACATTTATGTCTGATTTAAATGGCGAGTCGAAGTTAATAAGAGATATAATTGATAAATCAACACATATTTAGCAAATATTGTAATCTAGCAACATTTTCAGTCTAAATGTAAACCATACAAATGGTGAAGATTTATAGCTCAAGTGGATGATTTTGATGAAGTTTTGTTCTTTGAGCTAGATGGTTTCGTCGTAGATCTTTCATCGTTCTTCGACCAAACCATCCAGCTCAGAGAACAATACTCCATTAAAAACCATACAATTTGTATGGTTTAAATACATTGTCTTTCTCTAATCAGTACATGGAAGAATCAAACTTTGAATTCGTAGCTTCTGCTTGAATAAGTTACGGTAAACACAAACTTAATGAGAATCAATGTTTAAAGCACTGAACGTCTTGGTTTTTAGTTCATAGTATCAATGTTCTCTTTATAGGGTTCTTTCCAAGTAATCGTTCGCTTCAAACGTCATTGTGTTATCCACTTAGCTACTGAGTTCAGATAGCCAATAGTTTGTGTAATCGAATGAAATTCCATTTATTTTTGTATTGGTTGTTTGGATCTATGAGTGCAATTGATCAGTCTGTTATTGGCATATGTGCATCATATGTGGATGGTGGTTAGTAGTGGAATCTAGGACGCGCGTCTCGTCCTATTTGATAAACCTGCATCCCAAAGTTGATGTTCACTCCAAGAATCGAACTCAATACTATTCACTTCAAATGTTATCGCGTTAGTCACTTAGCTACTAAGTCTAACCTAAAATTTGTAAATTTGTTTCTCTATTCATCCAAGGATCAATATTATAAACTGATCCCAAGCTTTAAATCCCCTCCCAAAAAGATAATATCAATTAATAATCAATAATTTTCTACCGCTTGTTTTCTTCAATCCAACTCATAAACTGATGATCCTTTCATATTTGGATGAAAACATTGATAAAATATACAATAACTTACGTAATAGATCACTAATCAATTGCCCATAACATGGATCCGCAATCACAGAATATGGTTCGTAATATTGTCTAAAATCAATAAATAACAAATATGATATTATGATACTATTGATATTATTATCTTTCTTAAAAAGAGTTCTCATTATGTAATATGATTGAATGGATTCGACAGTAAACTTCGATTGATTGAGACTTTGGTGTAGGTTAACATTCGTGCTCAACAAGATGTGTGTGCGTATAATCTTGAGGGAACTGATGCATGTAATAAGATTAGAAACCACGTCATCCGGCTACATAGTCTGAGACATTATCACGGAATACCTAAAGTATCGATTGATCTCCTATAGGACTAAGATTTTAACAATTGACTGTTTACGGGGTAGTGATTAATGTCATGTTTGTCTAGTCGTTTAATTCCGATTGAATTATATCAATTCCATTTGTAGAACTTGGTATTAAAGTCAAGCACAACGAATCTAAAGTATTTGAGTTCAGGAGATTTTGTGTTTAGCTGAAATAATTACAATAATTGGTTGCCTAATAGTAATGAACAACATCAATAATAAGCAATGGGTAGCTAAGTGAAGATCTGATGTCAGTTTATGAAACAATTAACAGATGAATTGAGTCGTGTTGAATAGTGTAGACTTCTTGATTGAGGTAAGCTAGATACGTTAAGCTAATCAGCTACTGATAATCATGAAGTACTGTATAACCATTTAGAATGAATGTACCAATCTGCAATTTCAACTATTAATTAAACAATCTGTACATGAACCATTACCACTTAGTAGTGATTAACTTACAAACTCCTGCAGTTCTAGTTAAACACTATGTTCAGGATGTCTAAACTCATAGGATTTCACAAATTTACCGAAGTTACAAATACGGATCTTTCAGTACCAACTCAATGATTTGAAGATTACAAATCTATCCCCAAGTTTAGATTTCTTAGGTTCGATTCATATTCAGGTCATCAGTTTATATTGCTGATGACTTTCCTATTATCAATATTGGGGTTGTGGAGATTATTAAGTTTTTGATTGAAATCATAAATCGACTGATGTTAGACCATAGTTAGAAACCTGGAAGCACTGGACGGCCGTTTCATCCTAGTATGCGAACTGCTGAGGAGTCCCATACTAGGACGAAACGGCCGTCTAGTGCTTCTATTTATTTATTTATTTATTTTAACACATAGATATCGGTACAAGAAGGCACCAAATACATATGCGCCACACATATCTCATTTGATATGTGTGAGGGCTGTGATACTGCTCGGGTGCCCAAACCGAAGCAGGTGGTTTTCTTAGGGGGCCACACCCCGAGCCTTCGACCTGAAGATCTGATCCACAAGGCAGTGGAGCATCGTGAGGAGATGCAGTCCCATGGTAGCCGGTGACCAACGATTGGTTCATACGCCATTTGTTCCCGCAGGATACTGGAGCCCATGTGCACCATTGGTTTGGGATCCGGTTAAAGCGCAGGAAATTCGCTTTTCGTCCTCTCATTTTCGTAAACAACACCCCCGCCACGAGAAGGCAGTGAGTAGGACTTCCCTGGCAGAGGCTGTATACGCGTGGCCATATGAGAGCATTTCGAGATGGGGAGCGGACTCCCCCCACTCTCGGCCATACCAGGGCATTTGGGGGCCTAGTGCTTCTAGGTTTCCAACGGTGGTCTAACATCAATCGATTCATGATCTCAATCAAAGACTTTCATATTAGTTGCTAAGCTAAACAGATAGCCTATCCTAGATATGGCCTATGTGTAATATATACCTTTACAAAAAAGCTTTCCATAACTGAATTTTCATCTAGACAACATTAAAATTGGCACCAGAACTAATGAATTATCGATCATCTTTTATTTTTAACATGTTTCTATGTAAATGTGTTCAGATTGTAACGTGACCATTTGAAGTGTGCGTGTGTGTGTGCATGAGAAAGAAAGAAAGAGAGAGAGAGAGCAAGTACTAGACATATACAATTTGTTTTCTTTTAAATAATTTACAGTAAAAGACAAGTAGGTGATTACAACAACAACAACAACAACAACAACAACAACAACAACGACGACGACGAAGACGACAACAACAACAACGGCGACAGACAAATGAGTGTAAAGAGGGTCAATCGACTGACTTTATTCAAGATTACATTCAACATTATTATAACATCTCAATTTCCTTTAGATGGTTTTGTATTAAGACCGAAATCAAATATGAGTAACCACAAGGAAACTAATCAGAGCTAAACAATCATGTCACTCTGTTTATAACCCATTAACTTGATAACAGGTTGATGTAAACCACTTATGATCCAAGGCGGTCTACTTCAATATCTGGTTTAGCTGTTCCTGTCATCTGGATATTTCAACAAATGATCTGTTTTCTTGTTTGTTTTAACGTATCATTATGTCTATTAGTCTTATAACCTATTCAGGCAAGTTACAAAAGAGGCACAATCAGAGACATTGTGGTTGCTGACAATATGCATCGAAAAGAACATACATTATTCAGATGTCGATTGACTGACCTGCTCACACCTAACTGTTGATCACTCAATATGTTATCGTGAGGATCAATCAAGAAATAAGAAATGGGGAACTTGTTGAAATACTTTATGCTGAGAATTCTATCTTGTGCCAAAAATAGAATATTGAATAAGGCCATTAATGATAATAATAATAATAAGCTTCTTTGTGTTGATATCTTGGTGTTATGATACAGTTCCAGGTCTTTGGTTGTATCCATTAATGTTAATCTAACCACTTGACTGAAATAGTTCTGGTGAATTTAATAGGTACTTAAAGTTTGATTAATACTATAGTCAAGTGATTGAGTTTGCCTCACAGATATGCGGACTCTAGTTAATCAGTTTTGATCAATATACACAAACTTCATTATGTTGAGTTTGTAGTGACCTACTTTTATCAAGAGAACGTGATTGGTGTAATGGAAACAATTATTATTATAACCAGTTGTACCAGTGATTGTTTTACTGTGCTTGTTTGTTTAACTGTACTAAACATATACATTCTTCGGTTGCTTGTGATCTTGCACGAACTTTCGTTCGCTCACTAGTTTCACTTGGACCCCTTGGCACGATCTCGGTATTAGTTTGATACCACGAGGTTGTTAACAAATACATCTCGACTACAGCCATCAACTGCTTTTTGATATTTGGTCTACGGATGGGGACCTAACCTGTTAACTGGCACGTAGTCTTCCTGTAGTGGTGATCACAGTCAAAAGCGACTTGACGCCATACTACAAGTTGAACAGAGAACCAACAGATCATAGATAAAGCACAAATCTGGAAGTCTAATGAAGTGTGGAATCTTCATACCATTCATAAAATATGTTAACTCTAGACCATTCAATTGAAATTCAATAGAATTCATTCCTCATTTCAATGTGAAGTATATTCAAAGCCAGTGGAAATGATTGTCTCTTTTCTAACATATTTGAATCTCAACAAACAGCTCAATTAAGAAACTACTTTTAATAGGATGCTATGCAAGCTGTTTTCTAGCTCCTGATACCACATTAAGGCAACAGAGATGAAGAATTTAGTAAACAACATGAAGTTCTTTACATTTCTACACTTAATGAAGTGTACGCAAACTTGTTTAAACAGTAGTACGAATGATGAAAGTAAATCATATATAAGACACATATGCAAATCATTGTTTCATTAATGAAATGAAACACGTGTATTCATTACTGTGGTATATACTAGTTATGCAGACAAACATAAGTAGTATATAGCAGGGATTGGACTTTTGAATGGAGGTGACTATAACTTATGGAAGACCTTTGAGTGACGCTAAAGTGCTCTTGAGAATATCCACCTAAATGACTGTTTTAAACCAGTGTGAAGGATAAGGATTATGATTGACAGTTTATGGTTAGGAATAGGGATTAAATGTAGGGTTTTGATCACGAACTGACATCAACTAAATTGTCAAGACGCGCAGAAATCTAAGACCTGTAAACGTAAATCTGATTGGTTCATCTATAAATTATAATCTCGTCGGTGAATGTTTACCAGAAGAAGAGTGAAATAAAGAAAAGAGGAAGGAAAACAAAGAGCAATTTGTATAATAACAGGATTAGAAGAATAATACAATATGTAAAGAACAGTGCGCATCCATGATCCTCGCTCGGAGATTCGAAGCGTTCACGCTCGAGATTGATAAGTCTTGGGTTTAAATCTCACAGGGTGGAATCATAGATGCGTATACAATCTAATTCCTAACCCTAACTATCAACTTCAAATCAGAATCCTTATACTTTACACTGGTTTATAACCATTATTTAGATCTAGTAATTAGATGAACACTCTCAAGGTCACTTTAGTGTCACTCAAAAGTCATCCATAAATGATAACCTCACCGGATCTTCCATTAGGTAACCAGATATAGAGAATCGAAAAAAGAAACAATTTCAATTAACAACTCAATCATGTATCTACATTGATATGACTGATATAAACCCATACCCCCCCCTCACATCAATTTAAACAAAACTATATCATAGGTACAAATATTAACTTACAATTTATTATCAGCTAAAAATTTAACAATTTTATCTAATACTTTTTCATAAATACCAACACGAATCCAAAAATTTTGAAATACAGTATCAGGACGACTAAAAAGGGGAATAAAAGAATAGATATTGATTTATTGTAATCTGCATAATGAACAAATAAAGAATAGAGATTTGTGGAGGAGGAGGAGGAGTAGCAGTAATAGGAGTAGTATCAGTAGTAGCTGTAGTAGTCGTTGTACAAGTAGTGGTGGTGATAGTATTGGTAGTAATAGTAATAGTAGTAATAATAATAATAGTAGTAGTAGTGGTGGTGGTAGTAGTAGTAGTAGTAGTGGTAGTAGTAGTAGTAGTAGTAGTAGTAGTGGTAGTAGTAGTAGTGGTAGTAGTAGTGGTAGTAGTAGTAGTGGTAGTAGTAGTAGTAGTAGTAGTGGTAGTAGTAGTAGTGATGGTAGTAGTAGTAGTGATGGTAGTAGTAGTAGTAGTAATAGTAGTAGTAGTAGTGGTAGTAGTAGTAATAATGGTAGTAGTAGTAGTAGTAATGGTAGTATTGGTAGTAGTAGTAGTAATGGTAGTAGTGGTAGTAGTAGTAGCGGTAGTAGTAGTAGTAGTAGTAGTAGTAGTAGTAGTAATAGTGGTAGTATCAGGATTGGTGATAGTAGTAGTAGTGCTAGTAGTAGCAGTAGTAGTAGTGGTAGTAGTAGTGCTAGAGGTAGTAGTAGTTGTAGGATGAATTATGTTTGGAGTTTTTAGAAAGATGATTAACAATTCGAATTATTGGAAGTGATTGTACATTCCAGATGTAATAAACTTGAACTCAATCCTTTATGGAAGAGGAGACTCAAACTAAATCTAATCTTTTTCCTAAAAATACTTAATAAACTATCCTTTACATTCAGTCAAGCAATTCAATATGCAGTAACTCTTTGTCATTAGTGAAACAAAGCCATTCTAAATCATCTCTTTAAATGAATTAATTTATCTATGAATTCTCACGGTTCTAGTGAGAAACCATGATCAGTGGAGCTAATCTGTGACGGTTAGATATAGGTATCTACCTCAGTATAATGGAAGATGGCAGCGCAATTTCGTGGATTGGTTGTAGTTACACATTAACACCGTTGGATGCTGGCTCAATGGACTAGAGGTTAAGCGTTCGCGTGCGACACCAAAGACTCTGGATTCAAATCATGCGATCGAGATTGTAAATACGCACTGCTGAATAGTCCCATAATAGAATGAAATGGCCATTCAGTACTTCCAAGTTTTCAATAGTGGTCTACTATCAATCGGTTCATGATCTCAATATAACTAATTCATTATGGTACAGGAAATGACCTTAAATACACCGTTCAGAAATCGATAAGATGTCTAATTAAGAAGAATTAAAAGTTCCCGAACGACGTATTACATTGTTGTAAATGTACTATCTAAACAATTTTTCAACTCCTAAATTTAAAACAATCATATATCACATGTTTGTTTTCTATATCTAATGTTACTACTGATATCAAGTTGATGATGATTGACAACTGGCATGAATTCTATGATTATTATTTTTAGAATATAGATATATATATAGTAGTACTAGTCAGTAACTATTGATCTGTATCATATAAGTAGGTACAGACTACTTGGTTGGTTTCTGGGCAATAATCACAAGCAGTAGTTTGATATGGTAACCTCTCAACATCAGTCAGAATAGTACCGATGCATTCACTAACTATTTACCGTCCATTAGATCCTCAGTTTTAAAGATAACGTATGCATTTGATCTTCTCTTTCTCAAGTCGTATTATTTATATCAAATCTATTTCATTAAAATCGACACTGTTTTTATCCTTATTAATCTGGCACATATCATGGTAATCCCATTAGATTATACTGATGTACATTTGTACTAGAATCTAAGTGGATTAGAACTGCCGAATTATTTCGAGCTTCGAGAAATCGTTTAACAGTAAGTGAAGGCTGATAATAATACATGGATGCCTAAACGAAAGTAGATGAAACAAGGACTCGAACATACAGTTTACTGACTAGGGGTCGAATGATTGTCGTTACTAAACAACTGCTTCATAAGTCATATAATTGTTTTCGATGCTCTCAACCAATATTCGCTATTTCATTTCCATTCTCATTGAAATTCCACTCATTCATCTTTGTTACATTGTAGTAAACAAGATCTCAGATAGGAGAGACCAATGTATTAATTAGTGCAAACTTACAGTATCTTCTTAAAATATAAAAACTATACACGAAATACTTCATTTGTACATCTCCAATCAGTTATCTCTCACAAAATTCATCGATCCCTCATTCCTGTTGTTATTACAATTACACTTTGATTACATTGCTGTTTACTTCAATTCGATCTTCTCAATCTTCTGTTGCTAGGCAATCCACTTCCAATTGCTCCTACATACTACTTATACTTTTTAACATAAATTACATCGAATACAACATTATTATTCAACATTACACTATCCATCACTATCACTGTATGTCACACACATGCATGCACGTACACTCACACTCACACTCACACACAGACACGCATACCAACAAAAGAAACACTACTCTGTGAATTTCATCAAAACACAACTGATTATTAGTGAGTCATGACTTCTCTCATTTCTAATTTACTATATCAGTTTTACACGATTGCACAACTTCAAATGTGATGTCTCTCAGATGAGATCTACTTCCATTGTTTTATACTATCTTAATGAATGTATTCATTGTAGGAGGTTTAGTGTATTTTTGAATGAAATGAATATTATCCATTGATTTCCCTAGTCAATAAGTTCGAGTTTCATGTGTAGAGTTGTGGATACGTACTATTGAGGAGTCTCATGCTAGGACGAAACAGCTGTTGAGTGCTTCAAGGTTTTCAATGGTGGTCTAGCTTAGATGGAGTCGTGAATTCAACTGTTAAAGCGTCGTTATAACAGATAATGAAATATAGCATTAATATTATTTAAAAAGATATAAATTTACTACTGATTATGACTATTCATTATTCTATGTCCTTGACTAGTTTATAATTACGTTAAAGAAATCTTATTTGTGTATCTAATCCTGTCAATCAGTAACTGAGCTTAGCAACAGGGTATACTGGAAGTTGTAAAGTAGCTGATGTTAGTAACAAATATATTGTAGGTATGCAATAAGGACAAATTCAGTGTTTCAGTTTTTTCTTGACGTAATTTTATCATGACAACAGAAACATTCAATACGACTTGAAAGAATTTATCTTGGTAAAATCTGTGAACCATAAAGTAAATACGTCATTTGTAAAATGTCGGGTAGAAACAGGTGTCTACCTCAGTACAATGGAAGGTGGTCGCGCAATTTCGTGGATTAGTTGAGGTTAGACAACACCAACACCGTTGGATGCCGGCTCAGTGGTCCAGTAGGTTAAGCGTCCGAGCACGTGGCTGAAGGCCCTGGGTTCGAATCCCGCTCGCGGGATCGTGGATGCGCATTGCTAAGGAGTCCTACAATAGGACGAAACGGCCATTAAGTGCTTCCACGTTTCCCATGATAGTCAAACATCAGTCGGTTCATGATCTCAATCAAAAACTATTATTTTAGAAACCTGGAAGAAATGGATTGGAAAAGTAAGGATAGCATTCCTACATTTGAAGAACATATGGAACTTAAAACAACTGTCAACCAATATCAAAGTCATAATTTTCAATACGAACATAAAGACAGTTCTATTCTACGGAGCTGAAATGTGGAGAACTACTACAACCATCATCAAAAAGGTACAGTTATTTAAAAATAGTTGACTACACAAGATACTCAATGTTCACTGAACGGATATCATCAGCAACAGCCTACTGTTGGGAAGAACAAACCAGCTTTCAACTGAAAAGGAAATTAGGAAAAAGCGTTGGAGGTGGATAAGACATACATTGAGGAACTCATCAAACCGCGTCACAAGGCAAGCGCTAACTTGAAATCCTGAAGGAAAAAGCAAAAGAGAAAAACTAAAATATCAGAGGCAGACATCAGAAGGATGAACAACAACTAGAAAGGATTGTCCAAAATACAATTATGAATACAGTGGTTTTGAGTGGTGTTAAAGAGATGATGGCGGTCTTCCTTTAAACTACGACCTAATTCTTTCGTCCTGTACTTCGTCCTTATACATAATCTTTCTTTTATATATTGCCCCAATTAAATTAACTACTTCTATGAATCCGGTGTTTATCTTGTTGTATGGCAACTTGAACCAATGCATATATTTGCCTGGTCCTACGTTGTGGCTGACTGACTGATTGACTGACCAAAACAGAATTGGTTGGAGAATCCTAGTGTGTATCCCATACTCCTTCAAGAGGGTTAACAGGAATAATTTATTAAATATATATAAGTTATGTAAACCAACTGCAGATATATTGTCCACCAGTGCCTGATGCAAACTCACTTCAATGTAAGTTAAGTTCATTTTATCAGTAGAATTACAGTTTATTAGAATAATAAGCATATCTCACTAATGAATAATTGTCAACTTCTTATAATTTTAATAGTTGAAATCATCTGCTCACTAGTAACTGATTTCAAGAGACATTCATGGAGTTTTAGTGAGAAGCAGTGACTAGTGGAGTTCAACTAGGTCTGTTGTGAGATATCAGCTCACTGAAGACAATGGTGTACGGTGGAGCGATTTCGTAGATTGGTTGAGGTTGGACATTAACACCGTTGGATCCCAGGACTGATAGGTCCTGGGTTTAAATCCTACGAGTGGAATCATGAATGTACACTGCTGAGGAGTCCAACAGTAGGAAGAAACGACCTTCCAATGCTTCCAGGTTTTCTATAGTGATCTACCTTCAATTAACTGGTGCTTAATATTCTCTTTTTTTTTTCTTTTTTTTCAACCATGAAGTACTGCAGTAACTATTTTAAGGTCAGCAAAAAACACATTTTAATCAATATTTACTCAATTGAACTAAGTATGAACAGGGTTCGGTATCAGTATTCAAGAGTATAATGTTTATTTCATGTTATATTGAATTGATATTATCATATATATGAAGATGGTAAGTATACCTTAACAATGAATACAAATAAGCTTCAATACAAATATA